CTCTTACTTGACAAAAAAACGAGATACGTTTTCTTTTTTTTAAACATTGTCCTAGTTTTTGTTTGTTCACGTAATCAAACGGGGACTGTGCAGGCCCTCGACTTGGGTGTCGATCTGGGGACAATGCTGGGTGTCCGGTGGACCCCAATCGTGTAGGTTACCGCTGTTCGCTAGTCTGTGCGTGAGTCGATGTGCTATCGAGAAACCTCCACTACCCTCCAACTGTGTTAAAACTATGATGACTTGTCTGAAAAAATGAGCCACGCAGGCACATGATTCTCGTTTCTGAACGCATGCCAGTTGCCAGTTGCGTTGATAATTCATTTTTATTTACCTGTGAAGCGGGGGAACACTATCGGCAGTTCTGAGTTGTCCTCGCGTGGACACGACGTTATAGCTTTCATGGCAGTCACATTTAACGTGGATCCACTTATTTACATGACGATTTTCTACCATCACTACCAGTCCGGCCCAACCCTTAGTCAGGTAATAAGCAGTCATCCCCTCTCTTCCCTGCGAACGAATGTACCACGTACGTTCACGCACGACTCTAACAATTTTCAAAGGCAATAAACAAAGCAGAGATTACGAAGGATGGTTACCTCGTGTCGCTGTCCCTTGGCTAACGTTAAACTAATTATGGCATCGGCTAAGACGAACGCCGGCGGGGATATTTGTTCAACTAAAAGTCTCTTTGAACTGTGAATGGCAAGAACGTATTCAGGATAACTGGAAGTATCTTCCATTCCTGTGTGCCAATGATTAAATGCCAAACATACAACAATATACAAATCCCTCTCAAGCATTTTGTGACACCCAACAAATCCACGTACTTGTCGCTTACTATGCTCGACTAAACGTCCCACTTCCGGCGCCGCTGGTGAACGCGTACGAAATACGACCACGCACAGGTCCAACTGTGAACGTTGCGATTTCTCGGAATTCCTATAGAATTGTTAACAGTAATGCAAACGTCGATCTACCTATTGATTAAACTAATCAATTTTATCTGTATTTTTTATTTCACGTACCTTTGTCCTTCTTGAAACAACGTGAACTCGGTCTCGGTGGGTTCTAGTACCGTTAAAAGCACGCAGGACAAGTGTCTCAGGGAGGAGAGCGGTGGCAGGGTGCCGCGTAGTCGGACCTCGCTCCACCCGACCCTCGTTTTACAAATATCGATGCAATCGAAGTACTTTAACACGTCGTCGAACGAGATCCAGAAAACGCCATCGGACGCGCCGTGTGGCATCAGCATCTCACGGAGCTGCGGCGTCCATATCGGACTGTCGTCCGACCAATCACCCTTCCAACTGTAGTGGCCCCACGGATTTCGCAATCGCAGCAATCGTATTCCCTAGATGATATATACCGCGTTATTCGAATACACTGATTAGAATCGATTGTAAAAAAAATCTATTTACCTGTACATCCCGCACATCGAGAACGGAATAAGCATGCCTGGAGAAAGAAGATTAATCTAATATAAATCAAATATTTGTCGACGCTGAAATTGTAATATCGAGGTTCGTTCATTTACATACCTTGGTCTCAAACCTTTTCGTTGGTACTCCTCCTCGTCGACTTTCATGTTGCCACCGCCGCAGCTAGCACCCATTAGAAACATGGCCTGTCTCGAGGACAGAAGTTGAGCCCAAATTAGATCCTTGTCGAGTTCGTCCTCGCTGGGCAAGGCGGATGGCTGTAAAGGCACACTCTCGCAGGGAGCACCGGTTAGCGTCGCCAGACCTTCTATCGCGCGTCCGGACACCAGAGCCTCGTAGCACCCGTGGATCTTCGCCACGGCTTTCTCGATTAACGGCACCCAAAGCTGTTTTCTCTTCGCCTAAACCAGAGATGCAATGTTAAACTAAAATAAAATAAAACTGTGAACATGTATTTATGTATCACAACCTGGGAATACACTAGATGGCCTCTTTTATCACAGGGTAACAGGTCGTCGACCAGGACCGTGGTCCACTTCCCGTCCTTGCACAATCTCACTTGGTAAGCGCCTTCCGGACAGGTTTCCCTCATCACTAATACCCTCTTGACGAGTTCGTCGCTCTCTGCTAACACGGCCAACGCCGAGAGCAACCAGCAGTTCCCTAGCACGCCTTGGGAGATGTCGGAGGGCAACGGTTTCCTGAACACGGCCCAGGGCAGTTTCGTGTCAACGCTCGAGTCGACATTTATCTGATGAGGCCTTCTCCATTGCACCACGTGGTTGTCCTTCGTCTCAGCCGGGTTGTAGTATAACGACTTCGGAGCCGGTGGAAACGAATCGTCCACGAACGGTTCGTTCGTCTACCAAACATATAAACTTCTAGTAGAAACATTTTCATTTAATGTTATTCTCACGATAAACTGATATTAGAAATACATGTATATAATATAGGAAACTTGCACATTGTGATTTTTTAATAAAGTTAAAATTCTGATGATCACTCACCTCTTTGCAATAACGAACGATTCGTTCCCATTTCTCCAACGCCTCCCTTTCCTCCAGCTGCCTCAGGTTTTCCATAACCACGCTCTCCTGCCGTTGCATTGTGAGCGTGTTTATCCCGGGCTCGATTATCCTTGGTCTCTCAACCGATAATTGAGACAGATTCTTCGAGATTTCGCACATTTCGCAGACCCCGTTTGTACTCTTGTTCTCGTACGTGCATAGCTTACATTGCCACTAAATCAATTCGTATACATTCACGATTATATGAACGAAGGATCAATGAAATCAGAGGAAACGAATATTTTTCAACAAAATTCACACGTTCTCGAAGCTTGTAAATCATTTAAAGTAAAACGTACTTGGCCGTGGCCGGAGTCCTTGATCCTCGAGTGTCTCTTCTCGGCGATCGACGAGCCGTTCCTTCTGACGGAGTTCCTGTGCCTCGGTGTGACGACCTTCGAATTGACGGGAGTGGTGCAGAGCCGCGGACTCGGGCTCCTCGAGCCGAAGAATCTGGTGTCCTTAGGTACGTCCAGGAAATCAGCCAATGTTTTGCAGGCGTTGCAAGTCTGGGCAGACAACGGATTCCTCAAGGTGCACGACGGACAGACCCAACTCTCGCCTTTCCGCAGCGTCGCATCTTCCAAACGCATGATACTCTTCAGTTTGGAGCCGCCGCAGGCCTCGCAGGTGGTCCTCGACGCCGCGTTCAGCAGCGTGCATTTTTTGCAAGTCCACGCGGGCGACGGTGGGTCCGCTTGTTCGTCGAGGTCGGACTCGGCCGTGGCCAACGTGGCAGTCTTCTGCGGGATGTACCGCACGCTGTCCCGGGAAACGACGATAGGCGACTGCGTGTGCATCGAGCACGTGGTCTCATCCTTGGTAACCGTTATCAAGCTCGGCTGCATCAACGAAGGCGGCGACCGAGACGAGCCGCAGATGTCGCAGCCGGTAGACCAGAGAGGGTTGTACGCGTACGAACATTTCCTGCAGGTCCACATGCGCTTCAGCGTGCTGACGTTTGGTAAATCGCCGACGGGACTTGTCGCCTCGCTGTGCGCCTTCGTGGCCATGAGGCTGAGCTTGTTACTCTGCTTCTTTGGCAACGGCGGCGGCACGTCATGATCGGTGATGCCGATGTAGGAGTACTTCGGCCGGGTGCTGAAACCGACGGAATGCGGCGGCACCGCGGGCGGCTCGTCCTCGTTCAGGCTTCGACGATTCACGATCTTCTTCTGGGACACGTTCGTAACTGATTCGACGTCCGAGAACGACCTTCTGTAAGACAGAGGACCCGCGGAAGATAAAGCTCGAGGCTCCCAAGCGGGGACGCTGATCACGACGCCGCTGCACGGCACTGGGCTCCTCGGAGCCTCGCACGCCTCGCACTGCTCCAGACCGGGCGCGTTGTCCAGCGTGCAGTTGTCACAACTCCACAGGGCGTCGTCGTGCTGCTGAGACTCCGAGACCACCAGACTCGTCGGCCTTTGGATCGCGTGTTCGGTCAACTTATGTACAACGGATCCGTTCGACAGCGAGCGGCTCACTTTCGATTTCACTCGTTCGTATATCGAGGGACTGTGCCTTTTCGGTGAATGCTGAGGTGTATCGGTGCTGCTGGTCGTGTAGGAAAGCGTGGCGGCGGACTCCAAGGTTTCTATAGGCGGCAGTGTCCAGTCTTCTCGATTCTGCCGCCTCTCGCTACGGCTTATACTTGTTAACTGTGCCATATCTGTAAAACGATTTTCCTATAAACAACTAAAAGAAACAGTTGCGCAATCAATTAGTGCAATGAGTCAGAGAACAATACTTTTTTCTTGGTCAATCAATACAATACAATCTTATCTACAATCATTTAAATAATTGTCCAGTGGTATTACAATTAATATCTCTACAACATTCTTTATAGTTTAGTCATACAATAATTGAAATCATCTCGTTGAGTGTACAAATTACAATACCTTTGTGAACAATTTCGACATTCGTAGGACAGGTCGCATGGACGCCGTCGAGAATGTTGGCCAGAAGTTCGTTCGCGGCTCTGCGACGATTAGTTTTGCGTAAATTTAGCTTTTTGCTTTTCCGCGCGCCGATCTGACGCTTATCGGCCTCGGTCAGGGAGGAGTTCGCGGCGCAGGCTACGCAGACCAGACCGGAGCTGCAACTGTTCTCCAACAGACAACGAACGCAGGTCCATTGCGTCACCAACGACGGCAGGGACGAGTATCGCCGAATCTGCTGCTCTTTTTTACTAATCTTAATCCAAGAATCATGGTGCTGCCTCTTCGCTGAGTGATTGCACGGGAAATTCAAATTCCCCTCGGAGCTGCAAGTCGGATATCAATTGTTAGCCAGCCAGTGACTAATGGGAATGTATTGGAGAGAAAAGAGGAAGTGCTTGTTTACTGATTCTAAAAATGTAATTCAGTGTGCTCTGTCTTTTATCAGACTGGGAACGAAGTCGATGTTACATAGCTTCTATTGTTTTAAATCACTTGTGACTCATTGAAATCTGTTGCGCTATTTCAGTGTATTTTATATTATGATAAAGCATTTTCAATTGTTCAATTGTAAGGTTCTCCAAAAGTGCATTCCTATGTATCTGATAATTATTGGAAATTCCTTGTACTAAGAAAATAGGAGATGCTAAAACGCTGGCAAACACTGTAAAACCGTAAATAACAATTCTAACTCGAACGGAGTCGTTGAAGTTGTTATTCGGTAGACTGTATACAAACACGCGAGAAATCGAAGAATGGGGAGAAGAGAGAAGGAGAGAGAGAGAAAGGGGAGGGGGTTTGAAACATACACTACCGGCCAAAAGTTTGCCTCGGGCGGTCATACCGAATTCCACTGACAATTTACGCATCGATTCGACGTCGCAAATATCAATAATTGTTCCTTTAACTCTAACTAATAATTCTCTCGTAACGAACACGATGTCGAAACGAAATTGCTACCGAAATTCGCGTAAGCGTTTATGGGAAACTTTTGGTCAGTATTGTACCCAGACACAGAGACTTTAAACAAATTTCTCCTCACCGATGCACGGGATCGGTTTTGCTCGGCCGACGCTGCCGGTTTGACGGCCTGACTAAGCGAAGCTTCGACGAGGAAAGACACTCTCCGTCGTCGTCCCTACGCGTTCCCTCGTCGTCGTCCTCCCCTCGGGCCGAGCTCAGGCTCCGTGGCCTGGTGTTCGCCCTCTCATCGCTGCTAAGCCGCGTGATCCCACACCTGGCGCATCGCGTGCTCTCCGTCGGGTTTATCAGGGCGCACTCCGAGCAATGCCACTGCAACACCGATGCGATCGAGCCCATTCTTTACACGTAGTAGTCATGGCTCCTTCGCTGACAGGATCACTGACTTTTGCTAGCCACCGATCCCTTCCTCGCTCGCTGCCCGTCTCTTCAGTCTTCCCGGGCCAATAGTCGACACTGCACCACGACACCCGCTGTCCAGAGATATTAAAGATCGACGGGACCGCGTCTCGAGGTGATTCCGTTCGGCCGCGGCGGTCGCCCGCCGTTCTTTGTCATATGTTCCGGGGCGGCCATCTTTTTTTCACGCCACCACCTCCTCCTCCACCGCCACCTCCTTGACCGCCGCTAACACCGTCACCGAACGCCACCGGAACGACCGTTTTCTTATTTTATTCCGCCTGTCTCGCGCCGCTTCTGCCCGTTTTCTCCCGTTCTTTCCGTCGTCGCATCACACCATCCGCGAGCAACACGAACCCGCGCACAGCGAACGTTTTTTCACCGCGTACCACGCATAATCCTCCCTCGGTTTACCACCGCACTCTCCTCCGTGTCTCGCCTCCTCTCACTTCTCACGCATTTTCGTTTGTTCTTCTCCGATTCTCAAAGATTCTGTTATAGATTTTCTTTCAATGGACCGGAACGCGTCTACATCAGTCCGTGAACCGGACGATTCGTTTATTCACTCGGGAAATATCTAAGACGAAACATCGCTCGCGAACAATGTATATAGATATCGTCGTTCGCGACTGTGTTTGCATGTGTATTCGAACTGTCGTGTATGCGTGTATGCATGTACATCAATGCAACGCAGGGCTGTATGATCGTTCAGAATTTCATCCCTCAAAAATAAATAAATGATTTTCTTGGATTAACAGATCATGACTTCATCTTCTGTATACACATTTTTTTAAGAAATGTATTATGTAAATATTTCTAATAAAAAGAAAGAACTTGCACAGAATATATTTCTTGTTATTTACTTTTGATATCCTTCGAAATTCTCTTATTAACTCCCTACACTCACGTATGCATAATTAGTAAATCACTATTAAACGAAATCTACATAACTTTACAAACTTCAGCTTTCTCTATGTAGTACAGAATAATAAAGATAAGATGTTTATTACTCGTTTCATTCACCTCATTATTCCGTCTGCACGTTATTGCTTTGAAACCAATTGCAGTAGAACATGCGTTCGATAATAATGCCACAAATCGCGATTTACGATGACGATAAGTAACATCGTGTAAATGCATAATGCCTACATCCTCGATAAAATGTTCAAGACGAATGCTTGCCACTCGATTCTTCACGAAGATTGTATAAATCTACTCGTTGGTTAGGTTATCATATACGCGAGATGCTGTGACCTGTTGATCTAGCACAGTGTTCAAACTTCGCGTCTTATACCCAGTAGCACGTGTGAGCATGTATGCAAATTCAGCGGAACGAACAGATTTATGAAGTTCACGCGGCAGTGAGTATGAGATCCACCGATTTTCCTGCGGAATCACCAGCTGAGCTCGACGATTTTTTTCAGAGTACATTCACGAGCTCGAAGCTTGGCTAATCGCTTTAAGCGATCGAAGGTTTACAGGTTCAACGAGGGTCAATTAGATGATAAACTGACTATTTCCGACGGAGTGCAGCTCTACGACAGAGATGCGTAACGCTAGACCAATGTCAAAGCCGTAAGATGTGTCACAACCGACTTAAACCGCGTTCTGTATTTCTGATCGGGTTCGGGATCGGTTTCTTCCTCGCCCTGCTGCTGCTTCTAGCACAGAATTTACATTATGCCTACCACAGAACTCCTGGCCATTCGAGCAGGAACAATCTCCTCGGCTGGTTCCTATCCAGTACGAACACCGAGACTCTGTTCCAAACTTGGAAGCAATCGGATAACACGACGTACAATGAATTGTTGAAAGATAAGGGACTGAAGTCGAGAGAGCTTGATCTGGATTCTTATCTTTATGGGCCCAAAAGCGAAACGGAGTTAGAAGCGGATTGGCTGAAATCGCAGGTGGATATCACATGCGTAGTTTTTGTAAAGAAGATCAAACTGGCCAAAGCTATTCGAGATACTTGGGGCAAACGTTGCAACAGGATATACTTCTTCGGGCGAAAGAAAGACTCGGACGTGCCCGTGATCAGTTTCGACGTGAAGCTGACCTCCTCTTGGCAGCTGTTGTGCGAAGCCTTCACCTACATTTGGAGAGATAAGCCGCGGTTGCAATGGCTCCTCTTCGTGAAGGACGAAACGCTGGTGATCCCCGAGAATCTACGTTATATGCTTGCTCCGTTGAATCATACTCAAGACTATTATCTGGGTCATGCGGTCGTTTTATGGGGCCAGGCATATAACGTGGCCGACGCAGGATACGTGATTAGCGCGCCCGTTCTCCGCAAGCTAATTAAGAAGTTTGATAGCTCGGAGAAATGCTTGGTGGGCGGCAAGTATTGGAAACAGGAAGACTATTATCTCGGTTAATATTTCTTATTTCCCTTTCTCGAACCGCAGCGTGGTTGGACCGTTTGTTTCATGATTACAGCAAAGCACTTGGCCTCTATGGGAATTCATCCATCGGACACTAGGGACCAGTACTTAAGGGGAACATTCCATGGGTATTCATTGCAATCGCTGTTATGGGGTGTCGTCAAGACCGGCGTCTATTGGAATCGTGCCTTGTATCCTATTGAAAAAGAATGCTGTTCGTTCACCTCGATTACCTTTAACGTCGCCGAGCCCGACAAGATGCGCACGTTCAATTATTTATTGTATCACTTCCACGTGCTGAACATGAAAGCTGCTTTCGGAAGGAAACAGGCAGCTAGAATCGTACCTGAGGAAGATGTACGCTCATCTTATTCCTATATATTCCGTTTCCAGTTTTATGTTGAGAAACTCATTCGGCAATTATCAATTCTAGGTATGGAAAATCGCGTTAAAGGATGAATTCAACATCACGTATTTACAGGACATTTCCAGCGACGCTTACTATAAAATCTGGCACGCGAAGTACTCCGAACCGGAGCAACTGATTAACATGAATTATCGATCTAAAGATAACAATTAAATTTAACTAATAATAAGAGAATTCATCTGTGTAAGGTGCTACTGTAACAGACTGATCAACTTTTTTACTGTTTTGTATATGGCAGCGTAAGATTACTAAGTACCTCATAAGTGTTATAATAATTTTTAATGCATCACTAATGTTAGCTGCGTCAGATAGTTTAATAATCGTTACGGTTGTTTGTATATTGTTTATAAACGGGTGATCACTGTGACTCGAACACTCTTTATCGGTTTATTAACAAGCTCCGTTATCGATGAATGTACAGCAGAGAACGGGGGAATGCCGGTTGATACTCACTTCCCGTGTTAGTTAATCGCAACGTTATCTAGCTAATTAGGTCCTCATTAACGCTCGTAATAACAACGATAACAAAATCACGGCTCCAGTCTAGCAAGCGCGAATACCGGAACATCTTTCCGTTCTCTGCCCGAATTGTCTGTCCCTCGTGGGAATGACCAGACGATGTTCTCCAAGATCTGTGAGCGAACCGTTAACAGTACCTGACGATGTAGACGTACGCTTTTTTCCGTGCACATTTCTACCAAACAATTATTCTGTAAATTGCTTATAAATTGACAGACAATAAATTCAACGTTTGTGAAAGTGAACGCGTCGGTTCATTCCCGAAACCCATAAACGATCTCGTTAATGACCCATATTTTTCCTTGAATTTAGTTATCAAAGTCAGACTTCAGTTATCGGTTATCCGCTTCCTCTTAGAGGTGGCTATATAAAAGAAGAATTGCGTTTAATAGCATACTCGGTGTTACTTCTCCGTAACGTTACTTTCTTCCAAAGTATGACACGACGAGAGTAGATACTTCAGCATGTTGCGGAAGACGTTGTTCAACGTCTTCATCTTAGTCCTTGTGATTCTTGACCAGTCGGTTAATGGATACACGGAGACGGACAGAACAGAGTGAGTTGATCTTCTCGCAGAGGCAACTTGAATAATGGCAGTAACTGTTAAATGATTTTAGTACCACGATTACTTTAAATGCGTCCCCGAAAGTCGGCTATGAGGGTGTGAAGAGTACCAAGGGAGGAAGGAGACCGATTTTCCCAGGTGGTTGCAGGAAGGAACCGGACAAACCCGTCAAGGGCGACATAAAATGTTCCCTAGATAGGTGATTTATTCGCAAATGTTAATTTGTCTGCAGTTTCGTTATAAAAATCTTGTTTCCTCGCAGTGGATGTATTGCAACTTGTTCAAATGGCTATCAATTTCCTAACGGAGTGACGCAACTGGCGATACAGTGCACGGATAAAGAGTGGCATGTCTCCGGGACGGAGTGGACGTCTATTCCTCACTGTGAACGTGAGTTTCGATAGAAAAATGATTTATCTGTTCAGAACTTTACACGAATTGTACAAATTGTAGCTATTTGCCTGCCGGAATGTTTAAACAACGGTATCTGCGATGCACCTAATCGCTGCAACTGTCCGGAGGACTACAGTGGACCCCAGTGCCAATTCGAGAACAAGCCGTGCATGAATTTTCCTCCGCTTGTGATCAACTCGCACAGAAGTTGCAACTCACAGTACGACCAGCTCTTTAATAATTAATTTGAATTAATATTTTATTTTTAACACTTCTTATCTTTTGGATAGATCATGTACTATATCCTGCAAACCTAATTTCATCTTCCCTGATGGAACTACTGTTACAAATCTGATTTGTAAGAATGGGAACTGGCAGCCGACCAGAGAAGATTGGGTTTCTATACCAGACTGCTTAGGTTTGTAATTCAAAATTGAGATTTTAAACGAAAAATTGTATCTATTTCTTGGTATTGTAGCCGTGTGTGATCCTCCTTGCCAAAACGATGGAAACTGTCTCCCATCGAATGTCTGTCAATGCCCGCAGGCGTTCAAAGGACCGCAGTGCCAGTATTGTAAGCAGAATGCAATTATTATTTAATGAACGATGTTAGTTGATAAATGTATGATGAAATCTTGTTGAATGAAGCTGCGGACGCTTGCAACGGAGAGAAACTGGGCTTCAACGGAGGCATCGTATGCGGCGGAGTCGGTGATGCTTTCTCCTGTACCGTCAGCTGCCCCGATGGCGTGGATTTCCAGTTTCCACCGGCCTCGGCCTACGTTTGCAACTACGAGACCGGTCTGTTTGAGCCACAGCCCGTTCCCCAATGCAAGTACAGTGACAATATGAACGTAATCTATCTGGGCACCACGTATAATTCCTACGTGAAGCAGACGAATCATTCTTGGACTTATCAGAACGTGTACAGCTCGCACGGCCTGAGTAACTATGGAATCACTGCAAGTTATAACAATCATACTGTTAACGAGGTAATAATTTTAATTATAATTTCTTTGGCTTGTAATGTTCAGAAATTATTTTTGCTGATCAATTACAATTTCAACATACGTGTAAAAGCAGATACTGTTCAATCCTTTGGGGAATTCGATGTTGATCGAAGAAAGGAAACCAGTCCCGGCGACTTGCTTCACCTGGGGTGGCGTGCATTACAAAACTTTCGACGACAACGTGTACAGTTTCACGAGCTCTTGCTCCCACGTGCTGGTCCAAGAAGCAGAGAACAGACTCTTTACCGTAACCGTGGAGAACAGCTGCAAATTCCAGAATTGCTTTAGAATCGTCAGGATCTTCGTTCAAGACAAAGAATACATTCTTCAGCGTAATCAGGAAGGAGTGCCAGAGTTCAGAACACCAAAGAGGCTTCTTCCCATCCCGGCGCAGCTGTCCTCGTTGAGAGTCGACCTCTCGGCGCATTTTATCATCGTCACCTTGGACTCTTTGGGTGTTCAATTAAAATGGGACGGAGCTTCGATGCTGCAGGTGGAAGTTCTAGAGAACATGTGGAACAATACTGTGGGACTGTGCGGGAATATGAACGGCGATAAGAACGATGACTTGGTGACTAAAAATGGGGAGCACACTAAGAGCGTCGCGATGTTCGCAGCCTCCTGGCGTACAGAGAACATCGGAGGTAATTTGAATAAAAAATAATTTAATTAAATTCGAGCGTAATTTATAATCTTCGTATTCTAATTCTTCCAGAGGTGTGCGACGAGTATCCGGACGTTACTCACTCCTGCGAGTCTAACCCGTTCGTTTCCAAAGCAGCCATTCAGTTCTGCACGAGCTTACTTTCAGACAACAGATTCCACGCGTGTTCCAACACTATCACTATCTCCCAGTTGCAGTCCGCCTGTCTTTGGGATTATTGTTCTTGCGTCGACTCTGATAAAAGAAAATGTGCCTGCGACACGATGAACGTCTACGTGAGACAATGCGCTCACAAGAAAGTGGTCGCTTTGGCCGGCTGGAGAACCGACGATACTTGTCGTAAGACAATCACGATAATAATTTTAACATTGTTATATACAGTAGAATCATTTTTAACACTAGATTGC